CGCGTTTTTTTATGGTATTTGTTCCAGTGGACAGTCTTCAGAGCTCTCAATTAATTCTGCAAAGGGAAACAATATAAGGCGTTGATTAATGCGGCGCGTCGTGATACATATTTTCTCACACGCGAGCAACCGCTTTATATTACGATACGATTATCACACACTCTTCTGGAAGTTATACACTCTTTTCGGTCTATAATACTTGCGTGAAGATTAAACAAGCTTAGTGTCTCATCGTGATCATATTTCCGTAACAGTACATCGAGCCGTCCATCGCCACCATCGCGGTTTCTTTTGTCAACGCCTTCTCGGAGAGGTCGCACATTCACCAGTCATTACCGGATGCCGCAGTTTTGTGTTTCCCCAAAAGTATCCAGTAAACACAAATGAGATTTTCGGAATTTTAGGCATTTTCAGAAATAAATTTCAACGGGCATGAGCCTATATTGGATTGGGTGAGGTGAAACCCTACTCCCACAACATTCGCGCAAATAAAAACAAATTGTGCTACCACATCGGTGAATGGGTGGGAGACAGGTTCTGGTGACGAATTTTGTTGCAACATAAATTCATTCAGATGAAAATTTCGAGCGAGTAAGGCTACAATATAGAGGCATTTGGATAAAAATTTTGGACAAGTAAGGTTCTACCACATAGGTTCTCCAGCGAGAGCACGCATCTGCCACAGTCGCGAAGTGCAAGACCTGCATCTATCATTCTCCTTGACGCCGCCACATCACGGAGAGGTATTACGCGGAAAATAATGTGCCGCCCCCGCATTACCATCGACTAGGGTCGCGTGGCGAAAGGGTGATTGCTTAGACGCCGTTCGCCAGTGCCTTGTGAACGACTCGTGGGTGACCTGCCGGCCGCCGCCCCCGCCAGCGAGGCGCATAAGCCCGCCCCCGCTACTGATGCGAGCTGCGGCCAATGCCTCGCCGTCGGGTCGGGGCGAAAGGGACTGCCCGTTTCGGCAGAGGACAACTGACTGGTGGACTGGACATTAACCTCGTAACCTGCAATGTCCATAATAGTAGTTTGCTTGTTATTGACGCTGGGCGAGCCGCGCATTGGCTGTGTAACGTAGGACATTAATTTAATATTATGAGCTTATTTGAACCAAAATGAATATTTCTCATCTTAATAATGCACGCAATACCACCTCCTTCCCGCATCCCACGATGTATTAGAATGGCAAGGCAAAATCAAATTAAAATTCCTTCTTTCCCTCTAGGAAGTGTGGGGAATTATTACAAACTTAAATCAAATGTAAGATCCATATATTTAGTAAGAACATCTTCCCCCAGGTAGTCGCTGTAATTTCTGTTACTAAGTTTTGTTTTCTTTTTAGAGTAAAAAGTTATGTCGGGGAGCAATCGAGAGAGAAAAAAGCGCTTCTTGCCTCACGAGGCAAATCAGGTTCACGCAGCGTTGTTGTATTTGCTCCAAATTCCTCTGAAAAGAACACCCAAGAAAGACTTTTTGTTTGCGATGAATGAAGTTCTGAAGAAGCTTAGTTTTTGGTTCATAAATGCCCCTATATGTTTCAATGTGCTGAAATTATATTGTTTATTGCATTAATTGTATTCTATGGTTTGACTTTCGTAAATAATTTTTTTTATATAATACTTCACTTCTTAAGATTCGAGTATTTATTATAAACAAAAATTATGAGCCTGCATGTCATGTTTGCATTATTATATCTACACAAGTTGTAGAACTTAATAAAAAATATCTCGTAATATTAATGCACGAATTTGATTCATAATAAACCAATAAATTTAAATAAACAGTTGTTAAATTAAGTTTTACACGCGAGTAACCGCGATACAAAAATATGCGCGAGTAATGGCGGGTTCAAATGTTCTCGTGACAGCAGTGAATATATATATATATATATATATATATATATATATATATATATTTCAAGAAAATCAACGACCAGATATTTTGAAAAATTGCTACCAGTGGTGGGATGCTCCCATATATTTTCACAACACATGCTACGACATCGTTCGGCAAGAACTCCTCCGAAATATTTACGACTAAAGCCGGATTAACACGTATCTACTCAGCACGTTTCAAAACCGTTTTTGTAGGGGTGTTTAGAGTTCTATTGTACAAGTTGATTCAAAACTTTATTACTCCACTTGAATTGAATTGATGCCTTATTTTACATTGCGAGACTGCCGCCATGAGGCCTGCTCCAAATATTATAGAGACAATACAGGACACTTCCCCGTTCTTCCACGCAACCGATGGAAACAAGTTCCTACTAGCGCTCTTAGTGTCTCCTGGTACTTCAGCGCCAAATAAAGACATCAATATGATCCTTACGGAAGAAATACATTTTTTTTAATTGACCTAACGAAATAAAACTCATTTTTACATCCTTTTTCTGTGACTTACGTATATTGAATGGCTCAAATTACGGAAAATAATAATGTACAAAAGAGATGTTTCATATATCCCAAGAATAAAATGGTTACAAATGCAAGATTTTTCTTGTCTTAACGCTTCCAGTGATACATTTGGTATTTTTTCATTTGCTTTATTTAAAAATCACTCCATCACTCCAAAAATCACTACATTGATACCTCTGCTTACGTACAAATTATCACACTCCTTACATAGAATATTTTCCAATTGAATATTAATTATTTGCATTAATTGTTTTTTGCAAGTTTACTGTGACGTTAATAATTTAGAATGTCTCTATCGAAAACATACTTAATTCTAGAAAACAAACTTATAGCTAATTCATTTGCGTAGAAAAGAGTGGCATTCACATTCTGCTTAGTCAGAATATGCAAGTTTCTGAATTTATGCTTTTCATCTATATTCGATAAACTATTTGTACGTGAAGAACGAACGCGAGTTCTTTTGAATTTCATAATTAAAACAGCCAAACACTGCACAGCTTTTTCCTGCCACAAGGAAGGATGCCAAGAACAGTATTGTAAAATAAGTTTTCCAGAAATTGACCGGAAAGACAATCTAATTAAAGAAATTGATCAGAAAACATACACCAACAGTGCACTGAGCTTAGGCTGTATGAGTTTTCACCAGATTCTGCCACTAGATAGAGCTGGCATCAGTGTTTCTCGATATATCGCGAAACGTCTTGTATCGTCTCTATAGTATTTGCCTGCTCTTCCGTCTGACCACGCAAATTTCACTACGCTGTAGAGTATTTTCCGTAAGCTCGCTGTACAAATTTTAGGCTAAAAGTACAAGTTACCGAATACTGAAAACAATCTAGATAATTTGCCATCTACAGAGTGTGACGAAACAGAAAGTTAATTCAGAGCTGTTTCTTTTCTGTAAATTTTTCTTCACGCTTGGCAGAAAAACGAACACTAACTTCGGTTTTTCAAAACGCATTGAAAAAGTTGTGTTAGCTGAGTGTTATATCTTCAAGACATATCAAGGCATTCGCTGAGATCACCACTTCGCAGACGCAGTGGCGATCGCATACTCCGCCAGATGCTCCTTCAGTCCATAAAGCCACTGTGGTTCCCTCTTACACCTCCAGCCCCGCAGAGACCCCGATGCGCTCTACTCGTTTGCAATTCCCGGGTATGCGCCGGCAGGCTTTCACAAAGGGTACTGACGGCGGACTGTCAATCACTGCTTCCGAGAGGCGCATTTTGAAATCCATGTTTCGGAAACGCACTGAGAGGACTTGTATTCCCCTCCTGTTTAGATATATTTAAAAGAAAATGCACCGAATTAATTAGGGTGTGCACATGCAAACAGGCACAAGCCGCCACTGGCTACTACCCTTACTAAGTTCTCACAATATTCCTTGTGATAATCTTTAATACTTAAGAGTATAAAGTATCCGCCAAAAATGATCCTGGTATCAATCTTTATTTATTGTAATAATTTTCAGAATTGAACTCGCAAACGAAGGGTTTTTAGTATAAATGCGAAGCTGTCCGACGACCTATGATTACGACACAAATCAGAATGGAGGCTTTTTATAATATCCAGGGTTTGTTGGCACCAGGAATGGCCGGTGAGCAGCGGAATTTTTAACTATAACACGAAGCAGGCCTGAGCGTCGAGGCTTTCGAGCATACTAGAGGGGCTATGGCCGAGCAAACGAAAAATAATTCGTTCGGCAGCATTCGCTCGCGCGGTGTGAACGCACCTTTAGAGACGTAGAATGTCGCAGGCTAAACTCAGGTCATGCTGGGATACGATTTTATTCGTTTTAATGATTACCCGAAAATATTTTTGTTTGAGAGTTTCGTGACAAGTTACAGATAGTTATAGTAACAATAGTTACAGATTTGGGGGGGGGGCCTCACACCCTGCGGGTCCTCGCCTGTTAAGATTTAATTATATTTTTCTATCCATTTTCATTTTCTTGTTAGCGGTATCAACAATGCTCTTTGGCAATAAGTGTATTCCTTACGAATTAGCGGTTACAGTTGCTTGTAATGCCGCACTAATAACAGAAAGCGGAATTCACTGTTGGTTTTCCTTCTCGTAAATATAAACTAATATTTCATATACTTTGAGAATATTACAATACTAGTGTTTACTAGTAACTATTGTAAATGTTATGATCTATTTCAGATTATTTGCCAGTGCTATCAGTGTATTATTTATTAACTTGTAATTATTTTACTTTCTTGCATACTGCTGACAGAATATTGTAAGGCTAAAACACTCAGCAGATATGTTTGTGAATATAGTGCATACCATATACATTAAATTCAATGTCAGGAATATATTTTCATTGAAAGTTTTGAATAATTTCTTTCTTTTTCTTAATTTTCAGTGTTCCAAGACTGTTTTACAAAAATGTACCTTTATTAATTCAGAGAGTAATTGTGGTATAATAGTTTACACAATTAGTTTATAATGTTAAGCTTTATTGCACGAGAAAGTTTTGAAAACGAGCGACATAAGAGCAAGTTATCATGTATTTACGAATGTAATAAAGCAACATTGTAAACAAGTTGCATACGCCATTTTTTTGTATAACAGCATTATAAATTTACAAGAGAATCAATTTAATTTTGCAAAACAACTTTGTGACTTACAATGCATACCAGTTGAAATCACAGCCACTTGAGTGAGCGAGCCATCATTTATTCTGAATTCAAATAATGTTAGTGAAGGGAGTGAGGGTACCTATTCCAGGGCTGAAATGAACGTGCATGTATACTGGCTTCATAATAAGACTTCAAAACATGGAATTTAATTAAATTAAACAACTTTATCTTCTGCTTAAGTTTAATTTCATTGTGTAAATCACAGAAAATACAAACATACAAAATATTTTATACAATAAAAACATTGTGCTTATGATTACATTCAATGATTACTGAGCTTTCAACTGTACAGTAATGAGAATAAACACAAAAAAACAGCACTAATTCAGAGCTCACCTTGAACTTTATTTATCAGGCAAGTGGACCTATAGACTAAATAAAATTAATTCAAAATCCCATTTAAAGAATGGTAAAAAAAGTCTTTGGTTTAATTGATCATCCCTACATTTTTTGTACTTTCCAGTTTCAGGTTTCACCCTATTATTGAGCAAATGGAGTACACAAACGTAACATTATTTGGAGCAATTTAAATAAAGAATAAGATGCCATGATTCACACTGTTTGTGCTCAAAGAAGAGAATACCCTTTGGTTTCAAAATCCAAAGGCCATCAATTCAAATACATTTCATGCAATTTCTGTTCAAGAACCAGGGCATTTGAAGTCAATCATAGGGATTCGGATAACTTTCAGATTTTTTCCCCTTCCAGCTTTACTTTGCATATATTCTCAACTCCATTATTCCCAAAGAACTCCTTGCTATCATTTACAAGAATTTCTGTATCGGGCCTTATTATCTTGCATACATAAATTTTTCTGAGAACCTGTTCAGAAATAGTTAGATAATTTATAACAAAGTAGTCTCCCATGTAACGTGTCTTATATAACATTCGCAAGACTTATTTGCTACATTTACTAAATTTTCATCATAAGCAAGTCCTCTAGCAATGAATATTACTTTTTAATTTTTTTGAAATGTTCACAAATTATTGAAACTTACAGAAAAATAATTCTTAAAGGGGAAAAACTTACAATTTTTTACCAAACATTTTAGCATTTAAAAATATGTTTCACATACTGCCAAGCAAACTAAGAATTCGTCATTCAAATTATTTCTAGGGCAATAAATATATAAATAACACCAACAAAAAGTGAAACATTCTCTTCGAAACTTACTCCAAGTAGGATGATAAGTAAATTGTTGATTCTGTGAATAGATAATAGGACAAGACAAGATGAAAGTAACATGAAGTATTCGTTTTTGAAATCATAAAAATTGTACCACTTTTCATTTACACTTTTATAAAACTTAAAACAAGAATGTCAGTCTATTACTAGCATTCTTAATCAGATATCCGCAAGACCTCATGATAGTAAAACAATTTTAAGAGTCAAACTAATTGAAAATGAGGAAAAAACAAGTTTTTTTCCCCCTAAAAACCTCCAAACAAAATTGAATGCCAATCTCTGTAATATTCAGCATTTCTTCAAATTCATATTTCATAAAACAATTGACCTCTCATGAGCTCAAAACATTTTTTTAAGTTCTTGCAGGATCGTCACATGTCACTGCAGTATTTAAATAACATTTGTATGAGTTGAACGTTCACCAAGAGGCTTTGGATTTGGGCTGTTTGCAGGGCTTGGGATTGGAGTAAGTGTGAAACCGGCTCGATGATTCTCTCCTGGACTTTGAATTGGGACCAATTTTCGAGAAGACTTCTGACCTTCTCCTGGACTTTGGATTGGCACCATCTTGTGAACAGGACTATGACCATGACCTATGTTCTCCTTTCCTTTGTTGACAATTGCAGTGTGTGTTACATTAGACACTTTGCTGCTTGCATTAGTGCCATCCTTGCGCAACTTTTCTATTGTTTTCTTCAGGTTACGAACAGTCTAAAACAATAAGAAATATTTTAGTCATACTAGTATATTATGCAAGGAAATCTGCAGAAATCTAAAAACCAAAATAGATCAAAGAATCACAGAAGAGATGAAAAGAACAGGATGGAGAGTAACAGACTACCACAACTTATCTGTATGCATAAACCAATTGGAAACTGAGACATTGGAAGACCTTTAATGAGAATGAAAAATCAGGAACACCTAGAAGATTATCCACCTAGGACTAGTGAACCAGCACAATCATACCTAAATGCTTGCAGTTCATGATGAATATGATTATATTATGCAAATAGTTTACGATGTTAAGTATACTGCACAAGAACATATTTCGACAAGTGGTGTTTGGAGCGAGTTTTTAAATTCATCCAATTGCAATTGAGCAACATTATAAACAAGATGTATACTTTTTTGTAGAACAAAAATATAGAGAATTAAAGGTAATTATGAAAAAGGTTCCAGAAGTAAAATTTTGTAGGTGGTATTATGAAGTTGTGCATACTTGACATTTGTGCAATAAACAGAGGTTGGCTTTGCTTTTTACTGCCACTTCATAATTTGCTTGCTGTGATGATATGCGATTTTGTGTGTGTGTGTGTGTGTGTGTGTATGATGTAATTATTGGTACCATAAACTGCTAATGTCATAAACAGTTACTTAATAGAA